AGAATACTACATCAAGGTACTATCCTGGCAGTGATTTATACATAATCTTTTGATTATTTTTACATGATCGTTGTATACAGGTTCGAGCCGCTACAAAACGTGGCTTAGGACGTACCAGTAGTAAAAACTTTACCATAAATCAAGGTACACCTATTTTTAAAAATGCTGTATGAAATACAAGGGCATCTTATAGCCCGCCGCACGATAAGCGTAAGCGAGTCGCTATGGTCAGCGTTTTCCTCCTTGAATGTGCACCATGTTTGCTGTTTAGCTTTCCTGACGAGGCGAATCGCAGATTCGTTGTTGTGTTTGATTTTTTTTGCCTTTTGTGACCAAAATAGCCCACGCTCTGCCAATCAAGTTCCAGTTGATAGTTTTTTTGTCTTGAAAACGTTCTTCAAATATCCGAATATTATCTATTGTACAAAGTTTTTGTTAGCTAGAGTAAAAGAATTATTGCACCTCACCTCAAAGCCTGTAAAGAGTATAAGAATTTTCATTTTCTTGAGAAGAAGCAAACAGCAACCAAGGCGGTGATGACAGAACATCGGCTGATGTTACTGTTCCTGTCCTTGCGTCAATGCTCGCTGTGGCTCTTTTGGTTGTTGCTGTCGCTATTGTGGTATATATACTGCGAGGAAGAGGACTGATAATGAGACTAAGCAACTCTGAAGAGGTAAGCTAAGTATGATAAAAAATGGTACAGAAATCTGAAACGAGGGCTATAAATTCGACAACCCAAGTTGAACAAGTGGGATTCATCAAAAACAAACTTGCAGCGCTATTGCTCATGTTCGGAATATTACACCCGAATGRTCCAAGTTTTCTTTTTTTAAGTGGTCCTGATTCAAAYGTGAACGTTTATTAAGTTGATGATTAGAGTTTGTAATAAATTAATTGATAGAAAGAAGGACATGCTCCTGTTGGAAAAGCACATGACAAAGCGATTATTCTTGGTGATTTCACTGGAGAAACCACTGATGATCTTTACGCTTTCGTCCTTGATGAAACCTTATGGGAAGTACCAAGAGAAAATCTTTCAGTTATCAAGACACTTGGTAGTGGAAACTTTGGATGTGTTGATAAAGCGACGGCTATTGGGTTGTATGRATGCCCTGGACAGGTGACAGTTGCTGTGAAGACTCTCAAAAGTAAGGCTAGGCTTCTCGGATGCAGCAAATTCCAGATGCTTCTTTTATCAGAAAATACACGGAGCCATTACAAAGGGTTGCAAAACCAATTTTCAAAATTGGTGAATTGGGGAGTTCTAGTACTGCAATGCAGTGAAAGCTTCATGATGTTCGGACAAATAACAATACTTAGTTCAGAGAGTACTTCTCCTCTTTAGTTATCTTTAGCTTCTTCTGAGGTGGCATTTCTTTTTACGCAATTAGAGAATGTATCAGAAAAGGAAAAAGAAGACTTCTTCACCGAGCTTCGACTGATGATGAGACTGGAACTCCACCCTCATGTTGTTAAACTATTAGGGTGCTGCACGAAGTCYGATGGTAAGYCATACATTAGTTTTTACTAAATGCTAAAAGTAGAAAAGTTTGGAAAGCATGTCCCCAAWCTCTGCTCGAAAAAAGGATGTTTTCCTTACTATAATATTGTTATAGGCCCAATGTGCATTATCCTTGAATATTTGCCCTATGGCGATCTCCTTGGCTACTTAAGGCGATCACGTGGTCACGAAGATACCTACTGCTCGGGAGATCTTCGTCCAGAGACAAAGTTGACATCACGTGATTTATTGAAGTTCGCCTGGATGATAGCTGATGGAATGAGTTTCTTAGCAGAAAATAAGGTCAGTGTTAAAGGTCAAGTGGACATGTCATGCTGGCTTACTAGGCTTGTCATCACATTCTTGTGAACACAAGACCTTAGTGCAAAAAATGACCATTAAGTGTTACGATTTCAGTGTGTTCATCGTGATCTTGCTGCTCGTAATGTTCTTGTTGGTGAAAATAAAATCTGCAAGATATCAGATCTTGGACTTGCAAGGAGAATCAGAGAGGACGTCTACACCAGAACAAAAGCAGTGAGTATGGAAATAATACAAACTTCTATTGTGGAATATGTTGTGAAAATGTCAGATCTCGGCGGCGTCTATAACAGTTTCTGTCTTCAAGTTAAACATGTTTGATGAGGAAAGGCCAGTGGTTATTTAAACTGCACGCAACTAATAGCACCAAGAGCTCAGAGACGCTTTTTAAGGCTTATCACGATTTTGTCTTTGCTATTTCCTCAAGGCTCGATTACCAGTAAAGTGGATGCCACCAGAGTCGCTTTTCCATGGGGAGTCGTCCATTGCTAGCGATGTGTAAGCAAATATGGCATTTCATTGATATACGGGTTGTTTCTTGATGATACAAATATAAATAAAATTAATGTCATCTATCTTTTTACGT